ACATGAATTTTGTAAGTATAATCATAATCTACTATTATATTAAACTTGCAATAAAAATTTGCAAAGAGTTGCATCCAGAAATTGTACCCAAAACTCCTAACTATGTTGAATTGGCAAGGCAATGTATGGATGCTAATCAAAAAAAGCAGTCTAAAGCTTGAGATGTTTATAATAAATTTTATAAGTAGAATGATATCATAAAAAGTTTAGATGATAATAAAATTAAAAGGCAATTCTTAGATGCTGATAAAATTATCAACATATTACCGGTAACAGAGCATTCTGACAAAATATATACTAGTACTAATAAATATTTACCTTAAATAGCACCTTCTGAGTATTCTCTTTTATATTATCTTGGTGCATATTAATATCATTTTATAGTACTCTATTTAAATTTTGTTAATTAAGCTTATAAGTATTTGTCTTTGAAAGCATCCTTTTGATCATTTGATTTGCATTATTTTAGTAAGTATAAACTTAATTTATTATTCAATTTAAATATATGACTCAAGCTTTCAGATTTTTATTTTTAACAGTACCTTCCTAGTCATTTAATTCGTATTAACTTAGTACATAGAAATAAATTAATTGTTATGCTAGATGCTGGAAATGGTTGATGCTAGAAATTGATGCTTATCTGAGAATATAAATTCTATTGATTAATATACTTTCAATTTCTGGCACCAGACGTTTCCAGCATCAATTATACAAAATTATTATATTTAAACCTTAAAATTATTCAAGCTTATAGGTCTTACTTTTATATAGTGCTTTAAAAATTCTTTAATTTATTTAGGTTTGGTAAATATAAAAATCATTTTAATTGTTTTATCTAAAATTGTAAATTAGGCTTATTTCGCATCTTTTATTAATAGCTTTTTTAGAGTCATTCAATTGAATTTTCTAGGTATATTTCTTGTTTTATTAAATAATTCTTGTACACCGTTAAAGATGAAGGATTGGTTTCAAAGCCTATTTGAATATTGTTATAGTAAAATCAATCAAATAAAGGCAAAAGATCTAGAAAAATGATCAGTTCTAGAAATTAATAAAAGATTGTTTTTTGATTAAAATAAAATAAAATAAAATAAAATAAAAATGATAATAAGAATTAAGAGGTAAATCGTTGTTAAAGGGTATAAAAATAGTAAATTTAATAGTAGTTTTTCTATAAGGTTGGAATGCAGCTAGCTTACAATGAAAAGTTTTTTATGTCAAGTAAACCTTCCTTAAGTTTCTAATAGTGGTAGAATTATTCAAATTGGTTTGGTAGATCACGAGTTATTAGTATTTTCTCCTGTATAACTATAAAATTTTTACATATTGACAGAAACTTTCGATGAAATAAATTAATTTTATATGACTTAAACGCTATTTAATTTACTCACATTTAATATGCTACTAAAAATATTTCGTGCTAAAGTATAAAAAAATGATCGTCATCTTTAGAAAAAAAAATTTATTTTTTGGTATAGGTCTAAAAACTTTTGTCAATAGTCTTTGATACGCTTCTAAAATTTTATTTAAAAGGTGTTTTTAATCATCAACAAACCACAAATTTTACATGTACTGTACACAAATTCTTATATATAAATTTCATCGTTTAAAGGATAACAAAAGTCAATTATGATTTTTATATTGGTCTTACTAAATCACACCACTTGTGTCAAACACCAGTTCTGAAAAATAGCTTGGAATCAATAAACATTTTATTACTACTTTTTTTTTTTATTAAGGCTATACATATGTCATTTTTATAACAAATCCAAGATTATACTGTCTATTTAAATTGTCAACTTCAACAGATTTCAACAACGCTGGCTATGCTTACGTATTTTCATAGCAAATCTAAGATTAAACTGTCTATACAAATTGCTAGTTTGAAATGACTTCAAATACCATTCAAATAACTTTTTAGACTACACTGCCCACTCAAATTGCCAACTTTAATAGATTTCAATTACTAATCAAATACCTTTTTTATATTATCAGTTGTATTCGTGCCTTTTTAATAATGGAATCTAAGATTAAACTGTCTACCTGAACTGCTGGCTTTGGCAAATTTCAAATACAGGTTACCCCAATTAATATCAACCTCATTGATATCAACCTAAATCACAAACTAAATTTTTATAAATTTTTATATATCAAAATTCCTTTATATATATCAACTTTAATATGATTTCTCATTAATATTACTATCAACATGATTTAAAATCAATTCAAATAGGTTGATATTAACAAGGGTAACTTGTATCAAACTCAAATATCTTTTTTTATCCTTGACAGTGTCTACACCTCTTTCGTAGCAGAATCTAAGATCACATATCTACTTAAATTACCAGCTTTAGCAGACTTCAAATCCCTTTTTTCATCATAAGCAGTGCTTACATCTTTTTTATAACAGAATCCAAAATTATATTGACATTTAAATTGTCAGCTTTACTGACTTCGAATACCTTTTCTTCATTTTCTGTATCTACTCCTTTTTTATAACAAAATTCAAGATTGTGCTGGCCTTAAAAATCACTTTTAGCAGATTTAAATACTACTCAAAAACCTTTTTTCGTAATTTGCTATGCCTATACTATTTCTACAACAAATCTAAAGTTGTTTTGGCATTGTTTCCAAGAATCACTACACACAGCAGATTTTAAATTTCATTTAAATATCTTGTTTTCACTATTATTAGTGCTGTGCCTCTTTCATAGCAGAATCTAGTTTACTTGAATCGCTAACTTCAGCAGACTTCAAATGCCTTTTTTCTACTATTGGCAATATCTAAACCTTTTTCATTGCAAATCAAAGACTACACTACTTTTTAGAATTGACATTTCAAGAACAATAGTTGAAAAAAAAACTAACTGAAAAGAAGTGGGTCTAATATCTGAAAGTTGAAACTTGAACTAGCATTGCAATATAAACTTCAAGACTGTACTGCTCTAAAAACTAATGATACTAAAAGTATCAGGTTGGTGAAAAGTAATTAGACAGTAATCTTTTTATTATTATATTTACATAATCCTGATATAAACATTAAGTGATAATCAATAGTAAATCAGTGATAAAAAAAAAGTCACTGTCCAGTATTTTTTACCAACTTAGTATAATAAGGCACAAAAATAAGTATTAGTAATAGTGAAGAAAAAAAATATATATATATATTCCTAATACTTACAAGACATCTGAAGTGTTATATTTACTAAACTAAATATAGTAGAAAGTATAAATTAGATTTTAACAAGAGAAAGTAATTAAAATCAAATAGTAATACAGATTTAATACTAATGTGATCAAAGTGAGTTTTAATGCAGGTTTTGCTAGTGTAAAACAATTCAGAAGATTAGTTAAAAGATATACTTTTTATACAGATCGACTAAAGTTTTTTTATTATAACAAAGCGACAAATACATAGCGAATAGTCATATGATGCATAGTATTTTTTCTACCAGTATATATCGATCAATATTGCTATTGCTACAACATAAATTTCCTTTTTTGAAGTTGTATTACTATGGTGCCAATCATCTAAAAGTATCTAAAAAACTATAACTTCTCAATAAAAATTTGCAAAAAAAAATATATACTATTGTAGTCCTATATAAATTTTACAAAGAAATGCTTTTTTTTTTGTGAATTTAAACTTATTTATTGAGGCAATATGATTTAAAAAAAACATAACATAATTTTAATATACCTTACATAGCAAAAGTGGTCAGATCATCACTATATTAGGATTGATTTCACAAATTGTATATCGATACATAGTTCGGTATTACTTGTTACAAAAATAATATTACATATTCTAGAATAAAATTTAGTTTTCTAGAATTATTGCACTTTTATTTTCGAAATTACAGGTATATAATAATTCTAATAATTATTTTATAACAAAAATTTGACAGATATAATTAATTTAAAAATATTTACACTTACGGATTTCTTAAATATTTTAAAAAATTGCATATCATATAAAATAGCAATTTCAAAGGCATTCTATATCCTTGTGTTGGATTTAGTTCACAAGGCAGGTCAATAAAGATGAACTTCGGCAATAAAAAGTTTAAATATTTAGATAAATTTATTTAGAGTTTAATATTTTTTTTGTCTACATATTTAGAATTTAATGTTTATGTCTATATATTTTAATTGATAGTAATAATTAATGAAAACATTAGTAAAAAAATCAAATAATGCATTAGGATTGAAATATCAAGAAAGGGTTTAGGGCTGTGATATTTATTATGTAATATTTTTTTATTAAGGAGTTATTCACCTTTCCTCACATCATATCATATCATATATAAGATATATATATGATATTATATCTAGCTACTCCCTCTTCTCTTAAAAATATTACGTAATATCTGTCAGTGCCCTTACTTTGTTATAGGTTGATATGAAAATATTCTTGTTAATTTAATCAACAAATAACAAAATTACTAAAAAGAAGAACCACATAATGTATATATGTAGTGCTCTGCAAAAGCAAATTAAAGATTTGAATTTGAAATCAAATATTTGATCAAGTCAAATTTGATCAAATAATTGATCAAATCAAATTCAAATTGATCAAATATGACTATGAACTAGTTCACAGTCATTTATCAGATCGATGAAATAGTTTATAGGTAAATGATTATAAACTATTTTATCGATCTGATAAATGATTATAAACTAGTTCATGGTCCTATTTGATCAATTTAATTTGATTTGATCAATTATTTGATCAAATTTGACTTGATCAAATATTTGATTTCAAGCTCAAACCTTTGATTTGTTTTTGCAGAGCACTATATGTGAGAGCCCGTAATGAATGATAAGTATAATTTTTTACTTTTGATTTAGATTTAATAGTTTTTTTTTTGAATATAAGCTAACAGTTTTTCTTTTGTAGGTCTTTAAGCTTTTAATTTATTAAACTGTAAAATAGAATTCGAAGAATTAGATCAGAGTGAGAATATAATGAATGATAAGTATCAGTCTTAACTTTTGGTCTAGCTTAATTTTTTCTTTTTTTTTGAATATGAAATAACAAATTCCTTTTCTTGTAAGTTTTTAGGTCTTTGAATTGCTGGAATGTGAAATAGGGCTTGAAGATTTAGAGTCAAACGAGAGATTGTAATGATAAGTATAGTTTTTGCTCGTGTTCTGGTTTCTTTTCTTTTTAAATATAACTAACAATTTCTTTTTGTAAGTTTTTAGGTTTTTGGCTTGTAGATATGTGTAATGGAGCTTGAAATCTTATTTTGATTCGAGTGAGACTATAACTCAGTTTTTTGCTCTTGTTTTGGATTCAATTTTTTTTTGTTTTGAA